TCTGAGGGTTGTCGTTCGTGAGGGTGCGACAGCTGGTTAACGGAAAAACAGATTTTAAACAGATTTTTTTTTAAATAAAAGTGGTAAAAAACGTAGAAAATTTCCATTCTTATATTTCATAATAGTGACATCCTTGAAAAATTCTTCAAATTGTACTTATAATTACTAATTACCATTTATCAATTGAAATAATTCATTCGGAGATGTGATTTTTTAGGATTATTCCACAGAATCCATTATTTCAATCGCATTTTATGCGAATGCTCTTCTGATGTCAATACAATATCGTTTCTCATCAGATGAATTGTTAGATGGAATGAAAAGATCCATCAATCAGTGTCATTCTGCATGATAAAATAACAAGTCAATTGTTATTTGAAGTATTTTGTTTTAAATGAAATTTAAAGCAAACAAAAAGTTCGATTGATGACCTATTTATTTTGTAAAAATTCATATTGAATATAGGATAAATAACCAGATGTAATAATGTCAGGTCAGACATTAGGTCATATGCATGTAATATAAAATAGCTCATTTAAATTTTTTTCTCAATCTATTTTCATACCAGATCAATGTAAATGGGTTCACATGACTATATACTTTATAAATTTTAAATAGTTCATAACTGAAAACGAAAAAATTACGAGACAGATTCAAATTAGGTAAAACGCAACGGGATTGGTAGGATCTTAGGATGACGTCACAGTCCATGTCAACTGTTATGTATTTTCGGATACAGACCAAATACTTTTAGATCAAACTTTATTACAAAGAATTTAAATCAAAAGGGGGAAATTCGTGGACATTACACTTCAAAAATGGGGACAAACCACGGACACGTGTTTCTGGCTATTGGCCTCATCAGCGCGGTGCAGCCAATTGCAAAGTTGGACAACAACTGGTTATCAAAACTGAAAAATATCATAACGATTTTGAGTAAATTTTAATTCAATATTCTTCTTTGTATCCAGTGAGGTGTCAACCTCTTTTGATTCAATGACTTGTTAATTGTTTTGACATGTTTAAATTGTTCAAATGTAACATTTTTTTCGACACGGCCAACCTCACTAACAGTAAGTTGTGACCTTTCATATTAATAATTTTTATATTGTATCAAAACAGACCAATTAGTTTGATTTTACCGTGTATTTATTTTTCAGTTATCATACATTGTTAATAAAGGTTTTGAATTGAATATTTGAATGGAATATTCAGAAATTTCATGATGACAAAGTGTCGGTCAACCTTATTGAAGAACAGGGTAGCTTGGGTCATTGGCAATACCGCATAGATTGTTAGCATCTCTCTTGATTCTGAAGTACCCGTCTTCTCCCCAGTAATCTCCCCATGAGTTTTTGACTTTCCAGAACTTGATTTTGGCAGACGACTGAGATACCTCTCCATAACCTACAGCAAGTACAGCATGGTCCAGTTCATCTGAACATCCTCGTCCGCTCAATATTCCTCCAATATACAAATGTAATGGATCAGCATTTATGGCAATCGATATCGGACCGATGGTTCCTGAAATCATAATATTTGGTTCAGGTCCCTGTCCATATCAGGAAATATTCCTTCCTTGACAATTAGGACTCCAACGTTAGGTTCGATTCTGTCATAAATTTCTACTCACCAACAGCTTTTCTGAGTTCCTCTTCAGATGCGGTCACATTTTTATACCCTTTGATTTTCAAAACTATTTTGTTGGCGTCGTACTGGCACACAGTTTGTCTGCCTTTGTATGAATAAGACTGATCTGCTTCTATTCCATAGTCTGTGACATATTCGAATGCGGCTGCCATATTACCTCCATAATTACAGTTACCATTACCATAAGAAGCAGAACAATCGAGTAACTGCTGTTCACTCAAAGGGATCTTCACGTTGTTCAGAATTGCGTTTTGTCCCTCCAAAGCTCCGGTCTTAAAAAAAAACATGAATGTCTCGATATGTGATATCATAGGCAGTTCTATGTTAATTATTGGTTTCCAAATTTGCTTTTTCCCTAAATTGAGGAAATTGTTTAAAATCTGGCAACACAGCGGCTCTGCCCAGTATTCGAATCTGCTTCCGCTGTATATGAAACTCGTAAACGACGATTCTCGAACTTCCGATACTCGAATTTTCCAGAAATACGGAACCGCTATAAAAGTAGCAGTTTGACAATCGGAACATCAATATTAGTTCAACGCGAGTAGTTGTGAGTTAGTATTAGAGTAGCGAGGTGAGCAAAAACGCGAATATTAAGAGTATTATATTAGTGTTATCTTTGTGAATAAAAAAAGTTTACTCCTGTAAACGTGTATCACATATTTGAACTCGACGTACGCAACAGTACGAAAATGTCCAAAGTACAGAAACGTGGCTACGTTATTCCCACAGATAGTTTTTGCTACATATCTGGTCAATTTACTCCTAAATCGCAGACACAGACAATTGATCAAATGACCAAAGTAGCTTACCATGAGTATTTTGGATGTGTTGTTGGTGATCAAGATCGGGATTGGGCTCCTCACGTATGTTGCCAAACCTATGCAGCAAATCTAAGTAACTTGTTAAATGGCAAACGCTCTTCTGTAACTTTTGCAGTTCCAGTGATTTGGCGAGAAACAACAAATCATTACAACGACTGTTACTTTTGCATGACAAACGTGTATGGTTTTTCAAGAAGGAGCAAACACAAAATTGTATATCAGGATGTTCCTTCTGCAAGAAGGCCGGTTCTTCATGGAGAAGGTTTACCAGTTCCAACACCCTTCTCGGCAAATTTGGAGAAAGATTTGGAAAAGTATAATGACCAGGCAGGTTCCCATAATGTTCCAGAAAAAGAAGGTTCCTATTTTTCAGAGAGTGAAGGAAGAACAACAGCCCATTCAACCTGAATGAAATTACTTATTCCAGGACCTCCACTTGTCCAAAGAAAATGCTGAACTATTTGAACCTGGGTTACAACAATGAAATTTACTAGCCACTAAACACGAAGTTATAATATTTAGGAAGCATAACCACGAGCTATCCTCGTGTTTTACTATGCAGGATGAAATGTGTGTTTGTGTGGTGTGATGGAAACATTAAAATCTGCACATGACCCGGACGAATGACGTTTGTTTATAGAGTCGTCCAAAACAAATTTAAAAGCCGTTTTGCTCCATAATGGTAACAAAAGACCGTCTATTTCTCTTGAACATGCAGTTGTCATGAAGGAAACACACGAAAGTGTGTCACTTATTCTAAATGCAATGAGTTATAATACATATAAGTGATAAATATGTGGTGACCTAAAAGTCATAGGACTATTACTAGGTCTTCAGGGCGGATTTACGAAGTTTTGATGTTTTCTTTGCCTTTGGAACAGTAGGGCAGAATATACCTCTTGTTAATCCCAAAAACGTTTTGTTACCTCCATTACACATTAAACTGGAGTTGATGAAAAATTTTGGAACAGCATTAGACAAAGAAGGTGATGCGTTTAAATCTTGAACGCGTTTTCCCAAAATTAAGTAATGCAAAGCTCAAGGAAGATATATTTGTTGTACCACAAATTGAAAAACCACTAAGTGATCAACAGTTTGATCAAAAATTAAGTAATGTTGAATTAGCTGCGTGGAGTTCTTACAGAAGAATCGTTTCTGAGTTTTAAGGGAACATGAAAGTAGAAAATTACGAAAACTTGTAGAAGAACTACTTGAAAACTACTTCTGAATGGGATATCGCATGTCTCTCAAAATCCATTTTTTGCACTCCCATTTGAGTTTTTTCCCAGATAATTTGGGTGCTGTCAGTGACGAACCAGGGTAAAGGTTCCACCAAGACATACTGACAATGGAACAATGTTACCAAGGCAGAGGAGACGCAGTAATTAAGGGGGATTATTGTTGTATTGGGATTATGATAAGGAAATTGCTGAATATTTTTTATCACACTACTCAAGCATTGGAGCAAAGTTGGCCGGATCCATCAGTCAGCAAGAAACCAAAATTGTAGAGAAAACAATATCCAACTCATTCTTCTTAGAAGACACCAATGAACATGAAGTTAAAAATGTAATTAATAATCTGAATAAAGGTAAATCACCAGGTCTTGATAACATCAGGTCTGAAACTCTTATAGAATTCGTCGATTACCTAGCTAAACCAATTNAACATGAAGTTAAAAATGTAATTAATAATCTGAATAAAGGTAAATCACCAGGTCTTGATAACATCAGGTCTGAAACTCTTATAGAATTCGTTGATTACCTAGCTAAACCAATTACCCATATTATAAATAGAGCCATGAACACCGGTAGTTTTCCAGAAGCCTTTAAAACTCCGATAATCAAACCAATATTTAAATCCGGAAATAAAAATGAGGTAATTAATTTTCGTCTCATATCATTAATCAGTCATATAGCTAAAATATTTGAGAAAATATTGAAAGTAAGAATAGATAAATATTTGAAAAAATATAAAATACTCTCTGACGATCAATACGATCAATACGATCAAAGATTTCTCACATACTTGTGCCCTATTGCCTATGCAGAAGTTCCATTCGAAATTAAGTCTATTACAAGTGATAACAGATTTAAAAAAGAACTGAAATTATGGCTAACGAATATAACAATAGGTAAGATAAATGAAATATTGGAACGAAAAAAAAAATGAAGTAGTGATACAGAAAGAAAAATCACATGTTCTCACAAAAAATAATGTAAATATTTAAAGTATAAATGGAAATAATTTCACAATTCATGATATACACCAGCTTCATACTTATATTTGAACTTTTATTCATATGTTCTAATCCATATCTGTCATTATTGTTCACCATATTCTGTACTGTCGCAATCTTTCTGAACAAAGACTTACCTTATAGAATAGACAGCGACTCTACAGAAGTGTAGTGAACAAGGACCATATCAAGAACAGAACAGTGAATGAAATATAAGATATATGACTTTCATTTGCTATACGTATATGGTGTATGAATGATGAATGTTATGACCGATAGTTTAGTTTGTAATGTTTGTTCACTGATTCATGTTCATGATATCTTTATTTATTTTTCCCTTTCAATTGACATCACACACAAAACGTGTCAACTTAATTTATTGTTTCATTTTAATTTCTTCATTTTTTTGTCATACACAAGCTCTATGAGCTTCAGTGGCTTGCCATGTTTATTTCTGCATTTTTTTTGTTTATATGTAAATGTATTCAATCTTATGAAATAAACATTATTATTATTATTATTATCATTATTATTACTATTGATGTTTTATCGTTCATAATTTTCTAACATTATGACCTATGGAATCATAGCCTGGGGTGGTGCATATAAAAATTCATTGAAATCTGTCAAGTCTATTCATAAGCATGCAATAAAAATATTTTCAGATTCACATCAAAAGTTTTATTGGGAAAATATTTCAGTTTGAGTCCCAGACAAATTTTTTACAAAATCAGTGCCATCTATATAAAAAACGTTCTGCAAATACTGAGATAATTGAACATCATTGAAGATCGAAGAACAATAAATACTTTCAAATTGCCAATTCAACAACACTGAATATATATTGGTTGTGACATTTACAATATAATTCTATGAGAAATAAAAAAGTTGAAATCAACAGCATCTAAAAAACAGTACACAATTGGATATTAGATAATTTATTTAACCGTCATTCATAATAGAATAATTTCATTGGTTCATTTCTTCATTTCAATTTATTTTCTTATGAACAATATCTATTAACAGTTGGCATGATCTTCATTTTCCAACTAACCCAGTCAAACACAAGTGATTACACTTAGCAGACTGTGTAAAAATATTGTATATGTATTAACAATTTTTCTCAATATTTATAGACATTCATTTGATACGTTCGTTAATAAATTTGAATTTGGATTTGAATCTCATCCACAGAAAAATTTGTCGGAGTTATTCAATTTTATTATAAAGGCATATTGGTGTGTGACAAAATACTCTGGGATATAGGTCTCATTCAGCACCTCTCATAGTATGTAAGCGTGCGAACAAATCACTATTAACAAAAATCTTGATTGAATTGGAAATTTTATTTGGAAAGCATGCAATGGTTTTTTTCTGTCCCGCAAAATATTCTGTGATATAGTTCTCAGTCAGTACCTCTCATAGTATGTAATCAAATCAATGGGGATGGACAGGGATTTTCTTTTACATGATTACATACCATGAGAGGTGCTGAATGAGACCTTTATTTCAGAATATTCTGCCAATATTTTGCCGGGCAGAAAAACAATCCCCATACACCCTTATATTTTTTCAAAATTCAATTCAATAACTCCATCAAATTTTTTGTGGATGGTGATTTTTTTGCATTATCACATACTATGAGAGGTAATGAATACTACCTATATCCTAGAATATTTTATCGGGCAGAAAAATCGCATCGAAATATTCGTGAGAAGTGCTGAATGATACCTGGTCTCAGAATAATTTTCCGGGTAAAAATACGCCCACACACTCTTGCATCTTTTTAAAATAAAATTCAATAATTTCATTGAAATACTCATGGGGGGATTTTTTGTATGATTACATACTATGAGGGGTACTGAATGAGATTTATATCTCAGAATATCTTGCCGGGCAGTAAAACAACACCCACAAACTCTTTTATGCTGTCAAAATGAAATTCAATAACTGCATCAAAATATTCGCGAATGGAGATTCGTGAGAGGTGCTGAATGCTACCTGAATCTCAGAATTTTTGCCGGATAGAAAAACAACCCCCACACACCCTTATATGTTTCCAAAATGAAATTCAATAACTGCATTAAAATATTCATGAACGAGAATTTTTTGAAAAGTTCACATACTATGAGAAGTACTGAATGAGACCTAAATCTTAGAATATTTTGCCGGACAGAAAAACAACACATACTAAGAGAATTGAATGAGACCGAAATGAAAAGTTTTTTCTTCATATATATCTGATCATTTCTCTTTCAATATT